CTGTTTAAAGTATACAAAACGATGTTTTATCGTTGACACTGCGTAGTAGTTATAGTTCACAGATAGATTATAAAGACAATTATAAACTTAAAGGTGTTAAATTTATTATTTTAACAGACAAACAAAACGTATTTAACGTTAAAACAAATATAGATTTTATGTGTAGTTTGATAGTTAAAGAATTAGAAGAATATTCTATCTTTGTAATATCAACTATAGTGAAAACTATACAATACGGACCCTGAATAAAACGGAAATCTTATCTAATACGGAATTTTTCTATGGTCCCGGCATGTTCCTATAGTTTTATATAGACGTTGAACCACAATAAAACGGAATTTTCCTGACGCGGAAACGGAACGGTTTTTTAGGTCCAATGCGAGTAAAAACCTTGTATAAACCGGAAATATAACACGCGTCATGTTACGTTGATATGAATATGTAGATGCATCGTAAAACAATAACTAAGAAAAAACTGCACTACATTTTATTTTAGTTGGGTAATTTGTATTTTCAGGTTATCGTATTTGCGATACAAACTTATCCCATATGTATAATGTATAGCTGTGAAACAGTTATGCACCAGCAATCTTACACTTAACAATTTCCTTATACATACTAAATGATGTCCATTCAAATACATATTATATTGGAAAAATAGCAACAACAGTAACAAAAAAAAAAAAACTCTGCATGATTTTTGGAAAAACTAAATGTTTAAATTTAATTTACAACCTTCATACTTATGTAAAATGTATAAATTGTTAATAATTTTGTAAGAAAATAAGTCTATGATTAATCTAAAATAATTTATATAAAGTAAAGTAATAAATTAAGTTTATAATTAGTTTCTAACTCAAGAAATAAAAATTATAAATGTTGAAAACTAATTTTTTAATGTGAAAAACTGATATGAATTTATAATCCAGAATTTTTTCATTTTTTTAAATAAAGCGGAAAACTGCTTAAGTGGAATTTTTGCTATTCCGCATTAGACAGTTTTCACTGTACTACATATTGGAGTTCGTATTAAATAATTATATTTTATTAATATTTTATATTATAGTCCTGCGATTATAATTTGTGATTTAGTTACTTCTATACACGAAGCATCAAATATTTTATTTATTATGGGTGAATTATGTGTATATCACATTTTCTGTTTTGATTTACAGCCCTCATTATTATATAACTATCCCATTGTTTTTAACTAAATTTCAAGAGCTTCTGTTTAATAAGTATAAAAATATGTGTTTGAATTTCAAAATATTATTAAGAATGATACAAAATGTATATTGATATTTTTAAACTCTAACAGGACCGATAAAAAAATTTAAAACAAAATATGAATACGTATTAAACCACAGAATAATTCACACAAGTGTTTTTAATAATACAGCACTTTAAAACATTATTGATGATTTTATTAAAATTTGAATTTTTGGAATTTTTATGTATATTTGAATACCAAAATTACGAATACTTGGGTTTTTGAGGTTTTTCACTATTTAAAAAAATCCAATGGCTATCTAAACTTGTTTTTTTTTTTTAAATAAAAACCACATTTTTTACTGGAAATTGTTTAATACATGATTTTTGTTGGTAATGTTGATTTATTTAAATCAATATTCTAACTAGCAGTTTCTGAGTTTTTAAACTTCGTAAACTAAGAATAATAACCTTTAAAAATGATTTTAAATTGAATATAAAATGTATTTAATATTTAGTCTACCTAGTATACTTATTTATGTATTCAGTCACTTTTTACGAACATAAAATGCTAATATATTATTATTAATTACTATAATTTTAAAATCATCATAGCCCCCGTATCTTAATTTAATATCCTTGAATATTAGTATTAGACCTACATGTATAAGCATACAACATACAATTTTTATTTTATTAAAAAATATATTTGTTTGAATTTTTTTTATTTATACGTAAATCTACCTCCAAAATATTATAATAAACGTGGTTCAAAATTAAAAAAAAAAAAAAAAACAAGCTATTCGTATCGACGCACCAAAATCCTAGAATGACATAAGCAAAAGTAAGTATTTGATTAAGTACCTATAGCAATTAATATCTAATTAAGCGTATTTAAAAATTTCAAAAATCAAATTTAAATTAATTTAATTAATTTTTGTCGAGTGTTACTGCTGGGTAGCTACTCTCCTCATGATTTCACAGTCAACATGTACTTTCCGCTCATATGCTTATTGTAACTACTAAAACAGATTGTATTTACAAATAAATTTAAAAAAAAAAAAAATTAATTAAAAGCTAGCTATATACTACAAAAATGATTGTAGTGGATCACACGTACATAAATAAATAATTTGTAAGTCACGCTGATCAGACCAGTCATCAGCTGTGGAACTTATTTTGTTTCATAAAACTTTAACCATAGATGTGATATATTCCTGAAGTTTTATTAACTTCATATAGTGTGATAAAATTTATAATAATACATATATCTATCAGTCGGTGTTACGAATATATTCTTTTGCAGTGCCTGGAATTATCATAAACGGGATTCTATATCATGTTGTCGTAATTATTATGCATACGTTTATGTAACAATTGATAACTTGTAACTTATTAGTAAATCCAAAACTTTTTGTACTCAAATTCAATATACCATTTTTACGGGAACACATTGTTATTTAAAATGTACTTCTTTGAATATAATGAAACTTATGACATCGACAATATTTTATTATGCATTGAAATATCATAGGCTTCCAATGATCAATGAAAATTAATATTGCCCATTAGAAAAAAAGTCTGGCACCACCACTGATGTTAGCTGTAATTTTTTTTTTCTGTTTATTTAAATAAATTTTAAATCTTATTTAATGGAATTTTTCAAGGTTTTATAATGCATGATTGCACTTTGGAAGGACATAAAAGCCTAAACAAAAAGAAAAAAATATTCATTATAATTAATTTTATTTAAATAGTATTTAAAGTTTGATGTTTTGCGTAAAATGACAAGTGGTACCTTTGAAAATATATTTTGATCATTATTACTCAACTACTCATTCTAGCGTTACACTATATTATTTATATTAATCAACAAAAAATGTTCAATAGATATCTGATTATTATTCGATGTATTTAGAAAATTATATTCTGATTCCGAATTTGAAATTAATAACATAAATTATTATTATAAAAAAAAAACCAAGAAGATAAAATTGATTAATACTCGAATTTTGTGATTGTATAGCGTTATTAATATTTCAAACATAAAAATATGTTTAACCAGTAAAATAAATCATCTTATTTACTAGTCGCTATAATATACTGTATTACTATTAACATGAAAACTTTTAATAATAATAATAATAATATTAAGATAGTCGATAAGTATGTTCGACATAATATCGTAGTATCATTATGATTCTTTTGACTTGCTAAATCGCTCGATATTTTCAATATATTACAAAAACATTTTTAAATCTCTGCTATCCATAAAAAAAAAAAATTCTTACCAAAAAAATTTTAAATTTTTAATGCGCGGAATACCATTTAGAAATCAAAATTTAATGCACATATTAAACAAAAGTTAATGAAAAAGTCTATTAAAACTTATTCAAGACATTTTGTTTATAATGTGTGAATTTATCAAAATTAACTTATCCAACTTATTCAAATGTTTAGATATTATAATGTATAACATATACGAGAGGGATAATAAATATACACATGAATTATTTTTTTCGTGTATATAGCTTCAAAAGTTTACTACAACTTCTTTTGGCGATTAGAAATCGGACATTTATGATAGTCTTAAGAAATCGTTTTGAATTTATTTCCAGAGAAAAAATAGGTCACACGTTTTTATCAAAGTATATTTTGGTTATATTTTTGTGATAATCCAGGAAATCACTCATAATAGAACGTGAACCGCGATTATATTTTATTTTTGCCAAAAATATTATCAATTTCAAATATTACAAAAATTTACTACAATTATAACTAGGAATATCCAATTAATTATCACTGCCAACAGACGTATAATAATCGATATACTTACATTATATAATATTATAGTTTACCAAACATTAAAAATAAAATATGATAGCTCTCTTCTACGCTTATATTAAAATAAAATACACAAAGCATATCACAAAGGGAGAAATAAATTTATTTTTCATATAGATTATGACGTATACTTGTACACTTTTATTAATTTATAATACATTACAAAATATTAGTAGCGTATGATTTCAGTTGTATGTCCATTTAGCAGGGACCAACAAGTGTTAAAGTTGAATTAATGTAGAATAAAATTACATCGTTTATAAGTTCAAAAAAATAATCCCATTCAATTCGTTGATAAGTGTTTCTTTCAATTATTAAACATTAAAAACAAACCTCAGCACAGATCCCTAGCATATTTAATATAATTGCATATGCCTCAATCATGATATCATACCTGCAAAATAGTTGTCTAACCCGAAAACGATATTGCTTCGCCAACGGTGCAATAATATACAAATTGTGACGTGTAATTTATTATTATCATTATATGTACCTATATAATATATGTTGCGTCATTCTAAAGTAATAACTATAGCGCACTATTTGATTTTCGACAATTTTCAGCGTACAAAGTCCTCTATATAATAAATGTATTGTATAAAATCGCTTATGACAATTAAATTAATGATAATATATCCAGTCGGTGACCTTAACCAAAGTCGGAAAAACATTAACGAAAAACGTAAAATAAATACAAAAAAGGGGCAATTAAAATAATTGTTGGCGTTATATTCAAGGATACGACGCTGGTACCGCACTCCAGCGAATCTATGCTCCGTGATAAGCGATATCGGCAATAACAATTATGATGCTATATAATAATAATAATAATAACAGTTTATTGCATTGCCACCGGGTTTTCGCGTAACAAACGTAAAAAACTAATGTCATTAGGGAAAGACAAATAACAAGCTAGCAATATATAAGGACCGAACGTTTGCCGATATCAAATCATTCTTTTCGCCTCCCTTGGTCCAAGTGGTTCAAGCTAAAAATTATACGATATCTGCTTACTTTTTTTCCGTGCTCAATCGGCTAAATAAACAAACAGTTTCATACTATAACGACGCATCAGCATCTACCACGCAAAAATGACATCCTGCAAGTTATTTGTAAGTAAATAAAAAAAATGTACACGGTATTCCGCAACAGTGGAAAAATCCTATTGTTGTGCGCCACTAAGCGTTGGCAGATTCTCGACAATATTTTTTTTTTAACAATATTCATAATATTCTCAAAATGAACATCACGCTGTTTTTCCAGTCGAAATAATAGACCTTTATCAGACTTGTGAGTAATCTCGTCATTTCGTTTTTGTTCTTTTTTTCCAAAGTTTTGTTTTGCACTGCTCATTGTGTTGGTCTTCGCCGAAAAGGATGCATCGAAAACAGCTGAAAACGAGAGAGTGAAAAAAGCTGCAATAATTCCACCACCTGCTTCAGGTAAGTTTATATATATATATTAATTTAGTACTATATTGTTATAGCTGTATGGTTAGGATTATATTTATGACCTAAACAAATATTTTGTCAAAAAACAAAAATCACGGGGAAATAAAAATATCAAAGTATGAACTAAAAATTTACTTTAAAATACACATTATAAATAGTTTGCATTTATAAAATAAATTTTATTTTCGTTTTATACAATCAATGAAATAAGAAATAATATCAAAAGTTATTGTGTATATATAAATTCAATTTTTCACTGTTGGAAATCTTTGGAATTGTTATATAATCTAAATATATTATCAATCATAAAAAATATTAGGATTTTGATTATCTTTGTTACTTAATATTAAATAAACTTACTAATTTATAACAACAAAAACAAATTTATTTATAAATACGATTATACTTCATAAAAATACGTATTTATTTACAATTTTTCTCAAAATATGAATTTATTCTCCAAAACCCATCGAGAAATCAAATTAAATGAATACGTGTATGAGAACAAAAAAAAAATACATATCATATTAATAAAATTCTAAATGTCTAACCTTAATTATTATAAGTTAACTTATCCACTTATTATTACCCGGTGTGTATAAATTTAAATTATTTTATGCACCCGATTATTAATTTTAACCATGGTTCCGCGTTAGTGGAGTAAATCACAGACAACTATTACACTTACCTTTCAAATCAGATTAAAGTCTCAAACTTTATGCAATTAACTACACGATTCGTAAAATTTGCCAACGTTTGAAAGTCAAATAACGGCAGTTTATAATTCGGTCTACTGTAATAACAGGCGAACGCTATGATGAGGAATAACCTTATGCAAAGCAATTTTATTGGGTATCGAACTGCAAAATTAATAAAGTAAATATAATGTAAACGATTGGTATAAATGTTTATATTTAGTGAATAATGCCAACGATTAATGTTTGCTTATCATAGTTGGATTGTTGAAATAATATATCACTCATTTGCATAATTGTACATTATCGTAGTTTTCGGTTAAAAATTACATTTAATACTCTTTAAATACTTAAAGAGGTATAAGTCTTATCATTTATTCACGGAACTAAAATACTTCTTTAATATAAAATTGAAAACGCTGTTATAATAGTTATAGAAAATATTTAATAACGTTTGTAAAACTACTAATTATATTAGTAAATAACTAATAAAAATCAAAGCTTGAATAAAAATATTTTTAATTTGATCAAATAAATAGATATATATGCCATAGTCTCTTACATTCATAAATTTATGTCGAAAATATTTTATAAAAAGTTTGAATTCTCTAAATGCAAATTAATATCATACTAGTCTTGCGTTACTCTCAACGTCACTCATATTTTTGATTAATGAAATACATTTATTTTGTATTTTTTATTACACATATAATCACACAAAACGTTTTAAATATATTATTATTTAATATTTATATATATAGACGAAAAATCTACAGGAGAGAATAAAAATTGTCTTCTTTTGTAAAATGTAATGTATAATGTTGTAGAACGAGGTATAATATAATATATGCGTATAGTGAATTATTTAACGGATAAAGAATCATGATAACTTCTTTTTTTTTAAAGCACATTAAAATCTTCAGCACTCTCTAAAAAAAACTATATAACTATACAGTATACACAGTAAATACATAGTAGAATATTATTCGTGCGAAATATTCAGATTATATATCAAAATGTATAGCAAGTTTTAACAGTAATAAAAAAAATTGCGCACTTTAAAAAATGCGCATGGTGGTTCATTAAACGATATACGGAGTGATACATTTAACTTAAGATACTCGTTACACCAAAAAATATTTCTTTTAAACAATTTTAAGTTGTGTAAAAAAAAAAATTCTATTTTATTATTTCTAATACTATCGTTTTTAAGTATTTTATTCGTTTGATTTACTTTTTACTAGTAGGTACTTTTTTAATACATGATTCCTAAATAAAATATTATTCAAAGTATTTCGAATAATGAAAATCAAGTTTCAAGCAATTTTAGTTTTATTAGTTATGACTTATGAGTATTTAATGTTAAGATAAGCAGTAGAATTTTCAGGGCACTCTTATAAACTCTGTTCGTCTTTTCTAGACTTTAAATATTTATGACTCATATTACGTCGTTAACTAATTATCCAAAATTCGATTTGTATACATTAAAACACATCACAAAATATTATTTTTTTAAATACAGAATTAAAAATACATGTTGTCTTCTTATAGTTTTACATTTTAAATAAATTATAACGATAAAAAATAATCAAAATTATAATTTCTTTAGTTTATTTATTAACAACTTAAAATTATATATAAAAATAAAAGATATTTTTAAAAACATTAATAGTTTTTTTAATAATGACTATAATACGTTAGATGGATCACTCGGTATATATATATATTAATTTACTACCAAGGAAGAAACATCGCAAAGTGAATAAAAATGTAAATGCCAGTGGACCGGAGCTGAAGCGGTAGCGCGCGACGTGGCGCCTCGTTTGCGACGGTTTTAAGGAAATGAATTGCATCACGAATCGCATAAATATATAGTTGTTTCAACGCGCCGGAAAGACGGGTTGAAACGAAAAATAGGCACACGTGTGTACACGGCGGGTACGCGCCTCACAACGAAAACTAATTAACGATTTTGAAGCTGAAAACGAATTTCCCTTCTAAAAACTGCCCGTCTACATTGTTCAAAATCTCAGTGAGTCTGGCTATGTTTCTCGCTCAAACCACATCGAACTAGGTCAATACTTGGCCGGAGAGTGAGAAAATATAGTTAAATTTCAAATTTTAACACTTCGAGCACTTTAAAAAGAGGAATCCTTCTTTTAGAGGCAAATGGGGGTTGTCCAGTGTTAAAATAAAATACAAATTATAAATATGTAAAAGTATAAAATTGTATGGTACCTACTTAAAATAAAAACTAAATTTTTATATTATTTTTTTTTTTTTTAATTTATGATAAAATTTTCAAAAAATTTCTAATACTATAAAAAATTATTTTTTAGTTATAAAAAGTTTTCAATGGTTTTTTTTTCCCATAATAAATGTTGATTAAAAACTATTTGCTGGGTAATATGCTTGAAAATGTAATACAAAGCTCCTCATAAGTTTTTAATTTCTCGATTACGGAATATCGTAAAACCATTGTAAAAATAGTCTATTATAAGCGCTTAGAGTTAGAATTTTGGCAAAATTCATAAAAATCGCGAAAATTAGTTAATTATTTTATAGTTAGAAATTTATAAAAATTTAATACAATATTATTTATAAATATTTCAAACTGAAACTAAAAAATCTAATAAATATGGAAAAGCAATTATTTTTTTATAGACATTCCAAGTTCGAATTTGAACGAAATTACTTAACTAAAAATAAATAACGATGTTAATCATTTTATTATAATTTAAAGTCATTATTCATGGGAACTTAAAATTTTTACGTATATATCAATATAAATTATACTATATTATGCAAAGACATTTTTGATTTTTTTTAAGATAATATTATAATTTTTTTTACTGTAATACAGTGTTTATAGAAAAATATTATTATATTTTGAGTTATAAAAGTTGATATGATTAGTAAATACGTATATACTATTAAAATTATAACATACTAATTATCTAATAAATGCAAAAGTTTCGAAAAAAATTGTTATAAATCTACTATAATACTTAAAGTAAAATACATGACTAGAATAGCTGTATCAAAAAACAAGACGAAATGTACTTACTGATATTGATTAACAGGCCGTCACCACTTAGAACCGTTTTTCATGAACAATAATATATCAATGAATTCAAATTTAACATACTTATAATAATAGCCCACTTAACAACTAATGTACAGCATAACGGTACCAACTTGCCCAAGTTTTTTTTAATTACATCTACAATAAAATAAAATAATGTAGTTGGTACTGCATACCAAAAAAATAATAATAATAATAATAAAAATATTAATAATTACTTTATGATATATTTATTGTTAGTTAAATAAAAATAGGCCTTTAAAGTTGAAACCATAAATGAACATTTTATACTGACAAAAAACGGTATTCAAACCATATCGCTCATCGTTCGTCTGCACTACAAAAATCTCATGCGACCAATTTGATGATCTAAACGTGTGTTCATGTCGTGTTTTATAATGACACACACTACAAATTATATTATCTTTTGATTTCTTCTTCTAAAAATAACGATTATTAGAACGTTTTATGTTTACACGCTTTTCGTTTTCAATATATTCTGCTGGAGATAACATTTTAAACCCGAACTGACGTTTAAACGACTGATACGAAAATCCCGGTTGCCATCATATGATAATATATCATAGTCATCCAACATTTTAATGTAACCCTAGCTTGATGTGTCTGAGTCGATGGAAAAAAATAACAATAATAATTTAAAAATATTCGAATATTAGTAAAATCAAAATGGAGGTGAAGTCTTTTTTTTGCATCCACATGACGTTTTTTGTTTGAAAATATTATTTATCGTGTAGGTGCACATATTATACACGCGGTACGTTTTTACTTTTAACCTTGCTGAAATGTTGAAACGTTTACTGAAAATTCGCTGTTTCCACTTTCGATCACGTTTTGTACGTAAACATAATATGTACACCTATGCCATTCTGTATATATTACGCATTTGTTTATCGATTTCGACTTAAAAACACTATCATTTTTAGACATTTTTTGAATTAAGATATTTCTCGAAATCTATTTTATACGTAATTTATTTTGTATCACTTATAGTTACCGGGAGTCGGGGCGTTAATTATTGCCGGTAAGTATTTTTTCGAACGAATAGTTATTCGCAGCGTCCGTTGATTAAAATATACAACAGCAATAGCGGCATCGGCTTACAGCAGCTACCTAAAATCCGGTCGCGTAATAATACCAAAAAATAAATACATCACTACATTATTACCAAGCGCATATTATCAAATCAATATGATTCTCTCCAGGCAAAAATACATCATTCGGATACTTTCCGTGACATTTTTAGCGAAAATTGATAAAGAATTCGGACAAACACATTTCTAAATAATGAATACCTTCGAACGAATTCGGAGTTATACTTGAAAATTTTGAATAAAATTTAAAAATAATTAAATTTAACTCATAAGATTATGCATCGTATATAAAATATGATGTAATTTTGAGGCGATCCATGATTAAACCCTTTTGCATAGCGAACAATACCGTATTAAGGTGTCGTTGTCGTTTAGTCGGAAGTTGGTAGTGTACTAGTGTATTAATATCATGAAATTGTCAGACAATATAATATCATGTAAAGTAAAAAAAAAAAAATTTGTCTAAAAAATCAATGCATTTATAATTAGCATAAACTGTAAAATAAACTTGGTAAATTTAAATTTTAAAAATAAAAACCTACGAAAATTTAAAAAAAATATATAAAACCTTAAATATTTACATTACTTGATATGCAAAACAGCATCATAACGATACAATACTATATACATATTTTTTTTTAAAAAAATTGAATTACAGACTCTTTCTTTAAATACCTATTCTGTACGGAAATTATTGTTTTATCTAATAATCTAATAAATTCGAATTTTAAATGTCTAACAACGTTTCGTTTCATATTTAGTTGCTGCAACTTACGGATACTACAGCAGTCCTTATAGCGGTTTATACGGTAGCCCTTATAACACCTTATACGGCCAAGCTTACGGTTACCCGTACGGATCATACGACGACGGAAAATACCACCACCATGCGTCTAAGTATGACGACGGAAAATACCACCATCACGCGGCCAAGTATGACGATGGCAAATATCACCCTGGAAAGTACAACAAGGCACCGGTGGCAACAGCAGTGTACAGCAAGCCATATTCGACCGGGTACAACGGGTACAACTATGGTTACAATGGTTACAACAACGGATACAATTACGGTTACTATAGCGGATATCCGTACACTCAGTATCCATATAACTACCAATATAACAACTTCCACGCGTCATACCCGTACATCTACTAAGACTCTCTTCACCCAAACAATATTATTTGCCAGTTTTTATTTTCTTCAATCCCATAAAACACTATTGTTACATGCATGATAATAATAAACTTTTATAAAAGTCGTTATAAAGATTATTTTGTTTATGATTTGCTTCATAAATTTTAAATAATTTATTTTAATATAACAATATAATTAATGATATTAAAACTTAAAAATATTTCGTCAGATTAAAACGTGAATAAAAATTTTAGATATTGACTGTTATTATTAATTGTAACTTTATGACCTTTATTGTACTTTAACTTTCAGTAGTAACGTAATAAATTTTCAAAAAATATATACAACATGTGTAATTTTCGTCAATATTTTTTAAATACATTTGTATTTAATACCGTTTCGGGAATTTAAAAATATGAATTGTAATTTTTATCAATTACACCAAAAGCCAAATCGATTATTTTGTTGGTAATACTTACACATTTCAATAGTTTAGATTATAATATATTGAGATATGAGAAGCTAATCACACAGAATATTCTATTTTAGATTCTAAGCAATTATTCTACTGACTTATTCACACAGTTTTAGTTAAAATTAATACTACCTATTAAGAATAATAATATAATATATGAAATACATGTGTAATATAATAATAATTAATAATATAAAAATAAATAAACATAATAATACTGCGAAATAAGACGATTATGACGGACCGGGCGTCTTTGTAATGATTACTAGATAAAGCGGGGGTAATTAAAAATTCTAAAAAAATATAACTGGCAGTCGAGTTCATCAAGTTAAAATATAAGGTACCGACAAAATAATCAAATACATAAATATTCATTTTAGTGCAAATTACAAACACGCTATTTTTGATCGCTTTTGGTAGTAATCTTTATTTTGGTGTAAATTACAAGCTACCAGGTATTCGTATTTCTTGTTACATAAAAAGATTTCTCACCTAGCTAACGAGTGGCTTGACGACAATGAATCATCGCGGAAAAACGATGACGGCTGTAGGCTAAACCGCCGTTTAAATTGATGTTTGCCTTTGGCTCCGTCTCGAGGCATTTTTCGGTACTGAAAATGAAAACAATCACATCACAAGATTAATAATGATTTGACGTAGATACGATCTATAAAAGAAAAATGTATCGAAATTATTGTTTCTATGAATTATATATACAATGTTTTGTTGTACCGTCCATCAAGAATAAAATATGCATTATTGCTATAAATATGAAACTATTTTAACACAGTATAAGTTAAAACAATTTTTACGAGATGGAAAAAATAGGTAATTACTCTGATAAATGTAAAACACCATTAAATTATAAAATCAATCATAAACTTTTTTTTTTTAATAAAAACTCAAGATTTATCCGTAAATTTACTCAAAACATTGGGATTAGTTGCCTTTTTTGAATACATATATCTTTAAATAGATTTCGTTATGAAGATAGATGTGTAGTCTCCATCTCACAATTGTATACAACGTAAACAATTTGTGCTGTTCATAACTAATTGTGTGTTGTTAGTTTTAAAGTTTATAGGCTTATTATCAAATTCAAAGGTAAAAAATATTATCCATGTTTGTACATTTAACGATATTTTAATTTTTAAGCGAGTGATAAGTATTTTTAAATTATAATATTTTACATACTTACTCATAACTTACTTTAAAAATAAAATATATCGTTAAAAATCTGATATTTACACACAGATAATATTTCTGACCTTTAAACTTGTTAACAAATCAATTTACAATTGTATTAAAAGTAACTACAAAAAAAGTTGTTCTTCAAAACGTAAATTTACTATGTTATACTAATATTTATAATATAGATACAACACATCATGTAGGTTTATTATGTATAGCTATTGGTACTAGTGTTCTACGCACGTACCATTTCACAAACTCAAGAGGAATCCTTATCGTTAATCGTCGAATATTCTGTATTTGTAATATGTATAAGCATTATGAATTATGAGTGAACAATTTGCTGCTCTATACACAAATACACGTAAATTCACGTGCCAAATTGTATTCACTAGTAAATTTATCAACGTCTCTCGATACGTATTAAAAAAAAAAAAAAAAAGAAGAGCTATGTAAAAGAAAATTTAATTTATTTCGGCCGTGTAATAGATGCGGTCCATAATATTCACACTAAAACCCACAAAAGGGTAGAAAGTGGTTCAGAAAAATCCTATTAAAACGCGACGGGGCGCTCGCCCTGTGGCTACTTTTTAGACACTTAAAACGTACAATAAAATTAAAGAAATGTACGCTGCTCGCGCACGTAACGTGACTAAACTAGTTACATTTTCCATGGCTTACAATTTATTATAATAGCATCAATAATAATATGATCGATAAATTCTCGAAGTTTGTATAATAAACACGTATGAGTAGTGAATTATTTGGCATTATGTCCATTTGCTATATTTATAGTGGAAAATCGATTTGTTTGTCGTCGAGAGTATACTGAAGTGCAGCTATGTCTTAGAAATCTGTTGTTATAAAACTAATGTCATGTGGAAAACAATAATACCAAAAAAATACAATTCTATCAAAAAAGGATTAATTTTACTTATTTTTTGATACTTAATTGTGAACCAACGGCATAAAAAAAATATACATTCATGTTATCATTAAGGATTTTAACATTGGTGTACCTGAAATACTTGCATGCCTACGGTTTTATATTTACTAATATTATGGTCATTGTAAAATATCTACCTAAAAAGAAAAATATTCCGCAAAATCTAATTCAACATTGAATATAATATAAAATATCATGATAAAATAATATAATACATAGGCATCGCAAATATAAATAAATTAAAAATAATTATAAACTGAAATTTACATAGTTAAAATAGGAATCGAAAGTATTTTTATAATAGAATCATAAAATCTTTAGTTTTCAATTTTCTATTAAATTAGTTCGTTTAATAATAACAACAAAATTATTGGCACTTTTAATGATTTTTATACTAAAAGTAAGAATAATGATGGCCATTAACGGACATCATTTTAGTCTGAGATTATCTCATAAGACCCCCAAATACCTTGAACAAGTGTGCCTCGCAAGGACGACGCCCCAGGGTTTTCCTTAATTCGGTGTTCATATACAACTGTCAAAAAACCTGTGTACACGTATTACACGTATTTACGCGAATAACAACAAGAGAAACATAAATAAATAACATTATACACCAATATAAATGTCTAATTACCTGTTTGCTCGGCCGATGTGCACAATATATATATATATATATATATATATATATGTTGTATACCAACGTTCAGCTCACCGAAAACTAATAAGCGACCGCGTATACAAAATTATTTCACGGTTTTAAACTTCGCTGAATTGCACTGGACCGGACCGACGACGAATATTATATTACGTAGTGTTTGAAACAAACTACATTCAGTACGGTATATTCAATGACAAAGCTGCAAAACGGTTCGTCTTTGATACACATGAATTATATTATACAACACGCGCACACCAGTATAATATTACATAAAATTAAAATCGTACTATATTATCAATTATTGCATTGTACGACCGGTTTTTGAAAAATAATTTTTAAAAAAAAACACAACACGACGATATCCAATGATACACACGATCAGCAACTACACACATGACGGCGATACACTCGTCATCATTGTCGCGAAATAATATTTAATATCGTCCTTTATGTGTTTACTAACGATATAATAACAATTAATACGTTTTTTTATTTATACCGTCATACTACAGAATACGAATGCGTGTACATTCTATTTAATGAGTGGATACAATTACCTACCGAACACACGCCGCGGTCGCGTATTACAACTGTACTCAACAGGTGTCAGAGACGCAGAACCGACTTAACGGGGTCAAACTTCTCGTCCCCGTGATCGCGGACAGAGAGTGCGATGCCGTTTCGTGTGCACCGCGAGAAGGGTTTGCACGAGGCGACTGGGGAGAAATCTGCAGGAAAAGTGTTTTATCCCACCCCCGTCTGTCGGTGCGCATGCCGGTCGCAGCACGAATCTAGTCCCCCGTCCTCTGTCACACCCTTTCACCATTTCACCCTCTCCAAGAGGTCGTACCCTCCCCATACGGTCGCGCGCATCCGCTCGCCGGTATCTCGCCCGCTCTCTCGGTCACTGCTGCACATATATAATAGTGGGTTTCCTCTGCTCGCCAACGTCGCGCGTCCCGCGGCAATCCCCATACAACGTTTACACATATGTATATATTATATAGTATATAAATGTATATACGCCCGTGAGTACAATAATAATATTATACCGCGAAGTGCATAACAGTGGAACCTATATAAATACCCGTAAAACTCTGTATATATCATTTATCTATTATGTATAGCATTATTTTCGATAAAAATTATGTAGATAACAATAAACTTGCGTCACACCTCAATATCTACAACTTGCAAGAGCATTCACATATTATTTCGATTTTTGGGAAAAAATATAAACTAAAACAAAAATGTGCATAAAGACTCTTATTGCAGGATAGGGATTTGTACCAACATAATTTAAGCCGGCTGAACATTATTATTTAATATAATATTTTGGTAGTTAAAAATGCAAATAACTGGTTATTTATGATAGAAACAGATAAATGTATACATTACTCATTAAACTAGTTAAACAAATTATGCAAGATCATTATTAAATTTAAAATGTTTTTAAAGTTAGTCACTATATCAAATAATGAAATAATAATTTATTAAACTGTCGAAAATATATGCACAATAAAAAAAAAAATTGTCGAATCATTATAATATTGTTTACCAATGTAAATTTTACTTCTACGGATTAATTTTGTATTTTTCTATCTAAATTTTTCTCATTTTCAAACAAGCGTTTAGTTTTTGGGTTGAAAATTTTTCTAAATTAGCTAGGAACCTTTATAAATGTTTTTTAACAAAAAAAATTGAAAATATTTATTAATATATAATTTTAAAACTTATTGTCTGAGACACAAATACAATGAAACATGCTATTTACATATGACATCTGATTCAGTAGCACATTTAAATTTTTTGCATTCTTAGACATTAAATTATCATTTTCAACCTCTCTTTTACAATAATTTTATAGAATATATAAATTTAGGACGTCGCTATAATTTAATTCGTATCTATTTACAAATTTAAAAATCGTTTCAGTTTTTATAATTCAATCTAATAGCTCATGATAGTATTTTGACGTCAAAAAAAAAAACTTTGCCAACACTAACATTAATGATTTAATGGCACAGATATATATTCTGCATTATTACCCCTAAGATCTGTCACTTGACTTCTGACCGACATATGATTACGCCACGGTGTCGTAAAATACTACAGATAAACAATTTTACTAACTTGTAGGCTATATTATGAATTATATTATTTCGCATAATTTATTTATAATTGTTACAAGAAAAAACTGTATTTTTATATCTCCCAGCACTTAATATTTATTACTATTAAATCTTTGATTATTAACTGCCCATTTCGTTAAATTTGTTCACTAAATAAAATAGAGTAATTAAGTATTTATCATACTTGAGCTACAATTTTATCGTAAAATTCAGTATCTGTGTTATTAATAATAACGATTTTCAGATTCATTCCATATATTAATTAATAACTTAATTGTTTCACTTAATTATTTAAAAACTATAAAATATATTACTAAACATTAAAATGCATATAACTATACATTTCATTTCGATATCTTATAACAGTGTCACAGTGATCCTATCTATTGATTTATAAAATCATTTTTTTTTATTATTATTATTGTTATTGAACATATCAAGTTTTTAAGCTAATCATCATTAATAACACCTAAATACTATAGTTAATAGTTTTTTTAAAGAGGCCTATATAAATAATTTCGATTACTGCAAAGCTCTGAAAAAAAAAGAGAACATAAATAAGCCAGTATTCTGTCATTTTACATTTATCATGACGTATCTACATTTTTTAAGCTTTTTAAAAACAAACTTAATGAACCCTTTAAACTCTTAATGCTAAACAGTGGAAAAAAAATCGCATCATTTAGTGTAAAAACAAATGTGACTAATAATTTTATTTTTATTTTTAAACAGATATCATATCTTGATAAACTAGAGTTGCCCGAATCCAATTTTATCCTGATCAATTCCCAAAAATAAATAAATAATTATTTATAATATAATAATATATTCCTTTAGTTACTGTGTCTATTGTAAAATAAATATTGTTTTTAATTTTTAAACATATAAAAAAATAAAAATAAAACAGTTATACAAATAAAACATTTAAAATGATTAAATAAGTATCAAAATTAATTCACACATTACGTAAGTATCTATGTAATCATGCATCTATTTGATTTACATGCATAACGTGTTAATAAAATTAAAATGAAAAGCTAATAATTTATAGCTTACAACGAATATAATTTCGACCGGAATATTCTTCCCCAGAGTTATTCTATACAACAAACTGTATTATTTTAATATTTTTATTAAATCTTCATTAAAAATCATTCCAACATTTAATTAATATTTTTGAATGAATAATATAAGTGTACATATTTTACTGTACAAAACAAAAATTTTTATTACAACAAAATTTGATATATTATCTAATAAGTAATAATAATAATCAATAAACAAAGTAATAATAATAATAATGATTGTGTAATGATTTTTTTCATGATTATTAATTTAGAATTTAAATTAATAAAATAAATAATATTCATTAAGAATACCTGAAAGTCCCCACGCTATATAGATATTTAAATTTAATAAAAGTTTATACTATAATGTCATCATGACAGAAATTTTAAATTAATCAAACCTATCTAAGAACCTACTATTTATACATATAAACGTTTTAAATATTAATTTATACACAAAAATTTGAAATATAAATTTAATAATTAATTTTTAAACTATTTTTGAACAATAAAACAATAAAGATTTTAATAAACTTTTAACATAAGAGCTGTTTATGGACAATATGTAGACATCCATAATTTATATTAAGACTACTGAAGAAAATTTCTTAACTATAAAATTAATTTCTTGACGTAATGAGGTCAATTAATTTTAGTCACACTATATAGAATTTCTAAGTTTTGACTCAACTATATTCTATTGTCTTAGATTATTTTATGAGTTACATGTTTTCATTAAATGATATTTATTTGTGGAAATTATATGTGTTTAATTATATAATTATATTGTTATCATACTGGTTTTATATTAGTTACAGACATCTTAGTGAAAACTTTTAATTTATTTATATTTATTTTCAAATTTGTATAACTGAAGTACTCAAACAAGATACTATGCATTTAACTTAAGTTTTTAATATTAAAACTCAAGGTAAATAAAAGTTAATAGACAAAAGTATTCATAATTTTTATTTGTATAATTTTTTTTACGTATTATTAACGTAAGTCTTAATTAATTGTCTAAAAAAAATATTTGTAAAAATTATAACTATAATCATATTAAATTATATAATATTATACAAGTTATATATGTATTATAATTTTATTATGGTCAATAAATTAAAAGAAAAAAATAATCGTGGTTTAAAATAATATTTTCAAATATTAATATACACAAAATGTTAAAACTAATATTTTTTATTGTATAAATATTGCATGATGATAATATTTCATAAAAATATATTCAACTAATAAACTTTATCAAAGAATTAATCAAAATAAAAATGAAAATAAATTATATATTATATAATAATTGAGAGTTGTGGCACTAATTAGAGGAGAAATAATTTGTTTCACATATCTGTATGTATTTGAAATATAATAATTCTTCGTGTTATAAAAAACGTTAGTTATCGGCAATCCATCACCTAGTTATAAATACAGATTTATAAATACATGCAGACGTAAATACTATATTAAATGCGAGTGATTTTGGTTAATCAAAAAAAGAGACACAGAAAAATTTTTTTTAGAAAACAGGGTGAACTGCGAAACGATATTATGGACTCGCGTGAGAAATGATAAGAGATACTAAAGAGAGTGCAATAACTAACGAGACGAATTGTTCATGATTTACATATAGTTGGATTTTGATGAAAAAGGACAGACAAGGTCGAACACATTAAATAAGAAAAACGGATAATAATATAACAAAATATACTATCGTGTTCATCTACAACTAATAAAAAATGATCTTTGGGCTGAAAGTTTGTCGACAGTGTTAATTTATTTTAATCATTAAACTATCAATAAAATTATATTGTTTCTATATGAACTCAGGTACAACTAGGTTTGGAAGAGTGTGTAGCACGTGGTAGAGTAATTGGAAATTGTGTTTTCATTTATTATTGGCAAACGCACAAGTGGCCGGATACAATATCGTAGCAATGAGATATTGGAAAAATTAACGCTCTCGACATTGGTGTAGGTGATTTGCCTATCTATTGCGCCGCATGATGGAATTGTTTAAATTTTAACTCCTAAAATATATTAACATATTATCGTCCAAAAATAAAAATGGTTCTAACTACGTAAACGGTAGTACAAAAACGGAAAATTTACAATGAAAGTATCTTTGCGTCTAAAAAGATTTTCCAGGACTAGAATACTGATGAATCGGGTACATCTTCATCACGCCAAGGTTTTTGGATCTAGTGGAAATAAACATTTTATTATATCAATAAATATGTATACATATATATATATTACACTATCACAAATCTCATATTAAAAAAAGTTATTTTTAAAAATCGCATTGCAGGAGTGCAATACGCTAAATACAATATATTATAGTTGCAGACTGTACATAATATTATATAGTTTATAATACGCATTTATAATTTTAGTTTGTTAATTTAATCAAAAACATTTCTTCTAACTTTCTTCTTGAAACAATTAAATATTAAATACTTTAAGAACAGTAATGCAGTATTGTTTAGGTC